TCCTTCCCATTTTACAGATGAAGAAACTGAGGCAGGAAGAGGTTTTGTAACATGCCAAAGGTCACACAGCTAGCAAGTGGCACAGAAAGGATTTGAACCTGAGCAGCCTGCAGCTAGAGCTTTGGCCAGCCTCTACAAATGACTTTTCCCACTTGATCCCAACTGATCATTAATTCTTCTACTTATTCATTTCAGGTTTGGCTACTGGAACCTACCAGGATCTTAATGATCAAAGAATTTTGAAAACTGAGAACCATTCAACAAAATTTAGGTACTATCATCATCACCATTACTATTAATGAACAGGGGAGACCTGCACCTATCTGAGGATATTTTAAAAGCAATTACCCTTGGACTGTCTAATCACCCACAGTTACATTTACATTCCAGTCAACATCCTGGTTAAAACCATGTCCCGACAGAAAGGTTTAAAAGAATCAACATCTTCAGGACTTCTCTGGTGGTCCAGTGTCTAAGAGTCTGTGCTTCCAATGCAGGGTGCCCGTGTTCGGTCCTTGATCAGGGAACTAACTAGATCCCACATGCTGCAACTAACACCTGGTGCAGCAAAACAAATTAAGAAAAAAAAAAAAAAGATACTGCAAAACTTATAACAACAACCAAACACACCTTATAATAACTAGTAATAAAACCAAGTATGAAGAGTGGCTGTATCAGAAACTTATCCTTGGCCGAAATGAAAACTCAATCTGTAGACAATGGGCATTTTTAGGTGGTAAAGGATTAACAATCAAATGACAGAGCTAAACCTCTCTACTTGGGAAATTAAATTTTCTTTTTCTATATTAAATCTCTGAGGAATATAAAAAGTAGCACCTCCAAACAAACAGTGGGGGAGAAAGCCTGCTCCACATCATGTTCTCTACCAAGTTTAATAACATGGCTTGATAGTTTTCTGAGTAGTGTTACATAGAATTCAACTCAGAATGCAGTGAAGCCATATTTCTTCCAAAGCACACCCCATTCAGCCATGAAATATCCAACAACCATGAATATTTAATTAAGACTGATAATATATCAAACTCTGTGATGTGCTTTGGGAATATGACAGAATTCTGCATCACTGTAACATCCCTTCATTGAAGAGATAAGATCAAAAGACAAAATACCCAATTTTGTATGGCACTTAAAATATCGTCCAGTTCTTCTGACAGCCTAGTGGTTAGGAATCTGGGCTTTCACCACAGTGGTCCAGGTTCAACCACTGGTTGGGGAGCTGCTATTCTGTGCAGCACAGCCAAAAAAAAACAGACTCCCATACATCTCAGTTAATTTCACATTAATAAGACAACAATTAACGGCAAAATTGTAGGTAAATAATAAATACAACAGAATTAGCACTGTGGTTAAAGAAAAAACCTCATTTACCAAAGAAAGCCCTGGTCAATACTCATATTAAATCTAGGTTAAGTATCTGTGTGCTATTTTCAAGCAGTCTCTTAAAAAAAAGAAAGTGGGGTTGGGGTAAGATGGTTTAAAAAGTTCTTTCAGAATACATGACTGGATATCCAGTTCAGCAGTAAACCCAAACGTTATCAATCTGTGGACTTGAAAGTACTCAAAACACCCCTTCCTTTCATCATCTCTATTCAGTCTTGTCATTTTTTATCCCCCCAGAATCTCTCATTTGCCCTTTCCTTGTCTTTCTGACTATCCTCACTTCTTGCCTGGATTTGTTCATTCATTCATCACTTACTAAGTGTCTATTACCTGCCACACACAGAGCTAGACCCTTGCCCCTTATCTTAGAAAGCTCATGTGATACTCAGCAGAGCTTCTGTCTGCCCATCTCGTTCACCAGACTGCAAGCTTTAGCAAACGCTTTGTATTTCTAGAACCAGCAGCATCTGGCATACAGCAGACACTCTAAAAATGTCTGTTGTGTGACACTCGATTACTTTAGCAAGCTCTTTTTTAACTCCATAAATATTTTAGTACATATCTTCAAAAACAACTCTTACTTTTCTTTCCTTTTTAAAACATGAAAACAATATGTGCACAATGCAAAAATAGTACTGAAAGCTATGGAGTAAAAAGTGAATTCTCCAACCCTCTAAATCCCACTCCCAGAAATGACTATTATTACTGTTTGGAATGTATCTTTCCAGAACTTTCCTGTGTTGGTATACAACACACAGAGATACACTTTTTCTGGAACAAGTTCTTTGATAGTTTCTGACTCTAGTTTTTCAACTTTCTAATCCAGCCCAAGTTCTCAAAGTGCTGTCCCTGAATCAGGAGCATCACAACATCTGGGAACTTGTTAGAAATACAAATTCTCAGGTCCCACCCCAGACCTACTGAATCAGAAACTCTGGAGGTGGGGCCCCCACAATCTGTCTTAATAAACTTCAGGTAATTCTTCTACACACTAACGGTTGACAACCACTGAACACATGCAAGTCACCCTGGTCAAGCCGGTTTTTTTTAATTGTCCCTTAGATATTTTATTGTCAGGTGTGGCAACCGTGCTTTGGTTTTAAGTGTTAGGCGCTAAGTTGTATCCAACTCTTTGCAACCTCATGGACTGTAGCCCAACAGCCTCCTCTGTCCATGGAATTCTCCAGGCAAGAACACTGGAGTGGGTTGCCATTCCCTTCTCCAGGGCATCTTCCCGACCCAGGGACCAAATCCAGGTCTTTCGCATTGCAGGCAGATTCTTTACCATGTGAGCCACCTACCATCCTACTTCAGAATGCACTCCTCGTCCTTTTGATGAATTCTGACTGTACCAATCTGTCAAAGCCCAAAAGGGTCCTCGATGCCCCCCAAAGTGCTGTGTCACAGCTCACACTGACCCCTCTTGACATACCTAGTCCCTCTACCACATAATTTAACAATTAGGTATGCGCTGTCACCAACGTTAGAGATGGGTTCTTTATCTCTTCCCCATTGGACCAGAAGCTCCCTGAAGCTGTGAGCTGCATTTCTGCCACCCCTTCCTCACCCCTCCTCACCCCTCCTCACCCCTTCCTCACTCCTCCTCACCCCTTCCCACCCCTCCTCACCCCTGTTCCACAGATTTTAAGAGCTGGGCTTCCCTGGTGGCTCAGACAGTAAAGCATCCACCTGCAAATATGGGAGACCTGGGTTCAGTCTCTGGGTTGGGAAGATCCTCTGGAGGAGGGCATGGCAACTCACTCCAGTATTCTTGCCTGGAGAATCCCCATGGATAGAGGAGCCTGGCAGACTACAGTCCATGGGGTTGCAAAGAATCGGATACAACTGAGAGACGAAGCACATACACAGGAGGAATTCACTGAAATACTGATAAACTTTTAGTGGATAAAAAGTCTACATTCAAGTTGCAGCACCAGTTCTGTAACCCTGGCCTTGGACAAGTTCCCTTCTCAGAAAGAAGTCTACAAAAGCGACACAGCTGCACTCAATGACTTGATGCTTCCTTTCAGCCTTGGGCAATGAATAATTTTATGAAATGTCCCACACTGGAATATCGTATTCCGTTATATTTTAGTATACCATTATACACATTGCTTTGCTTATAATGCTATTATGGTGATTTTTAGACTTGAGTTACAGTTAGGAATAATATTGCCAAGTTAACTAGTAAGCTCTCTGAACAAGAACTATGAGACTCTTACACCATACCCAGCACCATTCCTTATGCATAACAGCTCAATCTATTTGCAGATTATCTGGAAAAAAATCTTAAAAATTTTTTATTTATATAGAAAGTCTATGCACCCATCTACTGCCTCCCAAATGGCCCTCTGAATATTTATTGTTATAAGTACTATGAAGATTTATAGTAAAAATTGTGACTACTCTGATAACACTGGTGCAGTCAGCCACATAAGGTAAAACTGAATCTCACATGTATTTGTGCTAGTCATTCAGTCGTGTCCGACTCTTTACGACCCCATGGACTCTAACCCTCCAGACTCCTCTGTCCATGGGATTCTCCCGGCAAGAATACTGGAGTAGGTTGCCAGTTCCTTCTCCTACCTGTATTTAGGGACAGACTGAAAACCTATAAGCCTGAGGCTACCTTTGTGCAACATGCAAATAAAAATTGCCCTGTACACTTAAGCGACATATAGCAATTCCACCCTTGGGGATAAATTTTATCTTGGGGATAAAATTTTTCTGCAAATTTTCAGGCACAAGAGGGAGGACTGGAGACCTCTGAGTGGTCAGTGATGACCAGAAACTGAATTTAAAGAGAAGGCCAGCAAAGAGAAATTGAAGGGCAGAATGAAGGAACAGAAGGGCAGTAGGAAAACATCACTCTTTGAGTAACAGAAAGGAACTGTGGAAATTTACTGATTCTTTCCCAGGGCCTACTGTGAGCCAAGCACTTGGGGTGCAAAGATGCTCCCTGACCTCAAGGAGCTAATAGTCTTAAGAGTTAAGACTGAAGCCTCTACCCTACCTGCCTACCTATCTACCTACACACACACAAACGCACACGCATGTATGTATGTATCTAATTCTAATTGAGAAAATCAAGCAAGGAAGGCTTCACAGAAAAGGTGGTAAGTTAATGGAGCGTTGAAGTATGCAGGAGAATGTGCTAAGGATTGAGGGGAAAAAGACAGTTTGAGCTATTTATTTTGGGGAAGAAACATTCCCGTATTTTTACAGCTGTTCCTTTGGGACTTTAAATCGGTGAGGCTTCTTATACTCAACACTACTTTGTCAAGGGTCTCTTTCTCATTTTACTTCATCTTAAATGAGAGATTCAAGCCCAGCACTGGAATAGAGCCAGGAAGCCCCAGGATAAGCGGAGTGCTCGCCAGATTTGTTCTTTCACCTCCAAATCCAACCAGCCCAGCTCTATCAGTCTTGACCTCCTGGCAGCCAGAAGAGGGAAGCTAATAATATCCTCTGGGGGCAAAATCTGGACCCAAGACAAGGCTTACCTCTGTTCTGCCAGTAAGCCACAGTCCCTGCTCCTAAACCAGGAGGCTCCCAGTTTACCTGTGACAGAGAGGCCAGCTCTGCAGGAAAAAAACTGCATGGAAAGGAAAGAGGACGCATCTGATGGCGAAGCGCTGAGGTACTGAGATAATCTTAAAATGTTTACGAAAATCCCTGGCACATTTGCAAGCGTTGGGTGAACGTGAGCTCTTAATAACAATGCTATTACCATTATCGCAGTTAATTATACTTCATCAACAGGAAAATGCTGTTTTTTGCAAGACTACTTTTATGACGTTGAAGAATCTCCGAAGATGCGAGTGTATTTCAGATTTTTTTCCAAAGGGACAAGATCAAATTTCAACCGCACTAGCCTGAGAGCCCCCGACCGTGAGTTCAAGAGCCACTCCAGCCTCTCGTCTGGCGCGTGACCTTGGGCAGGGAGCCTCGCCGCTCGGTGCCTCAGTTTCCTCATCAGTAACCCAGGGCTAAGAAGCCGCTCCCTCGCATGGTCGTCGCGGGGTATAGCCAGTGGGTACTCTTGACTTCACCAGGACCCCACGGGTGCAAGGCAAGCTCTCGGCGCATCTTCCAGGTTCCCCGCCCCGCCACCCGGCTCCCGGGCAGACGGGGCAGACGAACGTCCGACCCCGAGGCCCACCGAGCCCCGCCGCCTGCAGAGCCGGAGCGGGAAAGGGGGTCGCACCCGCGGCGGGTCCGAGGCTGAGGTGCTGAGCACCCAGAGGCTCGGCCGCTGCCGCCTGCACGCCATCGCCAGCGCGTTCGCCGTGAGCCCCACCGCCCAGGTGAGTAGCGGCCGAAAGAGGCCGGGCTGCCCCGGGTCCCCAGGCGACGAGGGCGGACGGCGTCCGAACACCTGGAGGAAGCTGGCAGCGCTGACCCAAGCCCCGGCGCGCTGGGGTGATGAAGCGGGGAAGGAGAAGGCAAAGGGGACGACGACCCCGCAGGCAGCACGGCGCGCCCCCAGCCAGCCAGGCTGAGGCGCTCACACTCACCTGAAGCTCGGGCAACCGCCGTCAGCGCAGCAGCCGCGGCGGCGGGAGTGGGGCGGGGAAAGCTCTGCGCCCGCGCAGGCGCGCTGAGGACGCCAGGCCGCACATGCGCACTGTGCCTGCCTGGCTGGGGAGCTACGGAGAAGATGGTGGTTGAGTTGGCGCCATCTTCGGCATACAGTGATTTTCTCATTGTTTTTGGTTGTAGCTTCCTTTGGCCAGCTCCAGTATGAAAGTATTGAATGGAAAATAAATAATTCATACGTTTCTATTTGCTGTGCTGTTCTGAGTAATGTGCTGAAATCTCTGGGTTTGCTCCCTCCCACCAGGGGAAGTGAATCAGTCCTTTGTCCAGCATACCCACGCGGTATATGCTGCTTTCCCCCTTAGTCTTCTAGTCTCTGTCATCAGATCGATTGTCTGGATACGGAAGTGTCTGTTTCAAGTAACTCTTACTTTGCTTGATAATGGCCCCAAAGTCCAAAAGTGGTATTGCTAGTGATGTGGAAAAGCCAGAGAAGCCTTAACGGGTTAAAGTTCTCAAATTACTAAGAAAAAAAACAGGTATATTGAGGTTTTATGGTAAGAATGAGTTTTCTGTGAGGGATTCCCTGGTGGTCCAGTGGCTAAAACTCTGGGCTCTCAACACCAAGGTCCTGGGTTTGATCCCTGGTTGGGGAACTAGATTGCACATGTTGCAACCAAGACCTGGTGCAACTAAATAGAGACATTTTTTTTTTTAGATTGAACGTCTGTAAAATTGCAGGGAAAAAATTTGTGCTTTTAGGTCATACTTCAAGCTGCTAAAGTTAGGGCCACAGTGCATAAAAGGTGCTTAGTTAAGAATGAAATACACCTGAAGCTATCACAGCATTGTTAATAAACTATTCGTTGTTCAGTCACTGAATTGTGTCCAACTCTTGTGACCCCATGGGCTGCAGCATGCCGTTTCCCTGTCCTTCACTATCTTGTGGAGTTTGCTCAAATTCATGTCCATTGAGTCAGTGATAATATCTAACCATCTCATTCTCTGCCACTCTCTTCTTTTGCCTTCAATCTTTTTCAGAATCAGAATCAACTCTTCACATCAAGTGGCCAGAGTATTGGAGTTTCAGCTTCAGGATCAGCCCTTCCAATGAATATTCAGGGTTGATTTCCCTTAGGGTTGACTGGTTGGATCTCCTTGCAGTCCAAGGGACTCTCAAGTCTTCTCCAGCACCACAATTCAAAGGTATCAATTATTCCACGCTCAGCCATCTTCATGATCCAACTCTCACATCCGTACATGACTACTGGAAAAACCGTAGCTTTGAGTATACAGACATTTGTCAGCAAAGTGATGGCTTTGCTTTTATAGTAATAAACTATACTTCAATATAAACTTTTTTAAAAATGAAAAGGCATTAAATTTATGAAAGACACGAACAAAATACATATTCTGATTGACATGTTGCTCCAGAAAGCACTGAATCTAAATTGAAGTTCATGTGTCCCACTGTCAGTGAGGCCAAACAAATCAAAATGTTGGACTTTGGAGCAGAGAAAGGTTAATTGCAGGGCTAAGCAAAGACCAACCAACCTGGACTCAAATGACCCAAACTCCCTCATGGCTTTCAGGGAAGGAATTTTAAAGGCAAAATTTGGGGTGAGGGCTGCAGGATGCATAACTTTCTTCTGATTGGTTGGTGGTAAGGTAACAGGGTGATGTTTCAACTTTCTGGTTCCAATCAGTCTGGGGCATACTGCTGTCCTCATGCAATCACCACCTTCCACCTGGGTGGGGCTGGGGTGGGGGGTAGGTCTTAGTTTCTTCATAACAACTCAAAGACATGTGTCAGATGGTTATGTATATCCCTTAAGGAGGAAAAAGGACTCTTTTATCACTGAACTATTGTTTCCTGGTTGCTTTTCTTCTCTTTCCTCATTGCTCTTTGAAACTCAGAGGCGGCCCAGGAGACCAAAGCCTCTCTCTACAGACAAGAAATGGGACGTGGAAGGGCTTTTGTATGCAGGAGAGCCCTACTAGCTCCTGCTTGGTTCCAAGCCATTACAAAGACTTCAGCAAGGGATCCCCTAAAGAGTGACACCAAGCCATTTACTGAAAATAAGGGATGGCTGGGGCTCCCCTGGAGGCTCAGATGGTAAAGAATCTGCCTGTAATGCAAGAGACCTGGGTTTGATCTCTAGGTCAGGAAGATCACCTGGAGAAGGGAATGGCTACCCATTCTACTATTCTTGTCTGGTGAACTCCATGGAGAGAGGAGCCTGGCAGGCTACAGTCCATGGGATCACAAAGACCTGGACACAACTGAGCAACTAACACTAACATAAGGGATGGTTATACAGATTCAGCAATAGTTTGGACTGCAAAGTAGAAAAATTACTGGGGAGACTGTGTCTGCCAATGAAGAAATGATACCAAGCAGGACCCTTTGGGGGGGTTCCTGGGCACAAAAGCCTTTCTTTGTCCCACAATTCTTTTTTGTTGTTGTTTTAGGTGTACCATACAGCTTGCTGGGATGCGGGGATCTTAGTTCCCCGACCAGGAAATGAACCCAGCAGACCTGGCATGAGTCCTAACCACAGGACCACCAGGGAATCCCTCCCCCACCCCGCCACCCTGCATTTCTTCATTACAGGAAATAGGCCTCATTCATTCCGTGACCTTCCCTGAGTTCCAAAGGCAGGTTCAAACTGTTGCTAATTAGAGACAAAGGTTCGTAGAGTCAAAGCTATGGTTTTTCCAGTAGTCACGTATGGATACAAGAGTTGGACCAAAAAGAAGGCTGAGTGCCGAAAGATTGACGCTTTTGAACTGTGGTGTTGGAGAAGAGTCCTAAGAGTCCCTTGGACAGCAAGATCCAACCATTCAATCCTAAAGAAAATCAATCCTGAATATTCATTCGAAGAACTGATGCTGAAGCTGAAGCTCCAATGCTTTGGCTATCTGATGCAAAGAGCTGACTCATTGGAAAAGACCCTGATGCTGGGAAAGACTGAAGACAGGAGGAGAAGGGGACAACAGAGAACGAGATGGTTGGATGGCATCACCAACTGAATGGACATGAGCTTGAGCAAGCTCCGGGAATGGTGAGGGACAGGGAAGCCTGGCACACTGCAGTCCATGGGGTCGCAAACAGTTGGACATGACTCAGTGACTAAACAAAAATTAGAGAAGGGAGGGGATGCAGAAGCAAGGAACAGTCAAGAGAAAGAATAAAGCAGCCTTGGGGCAGGTCTCAATATCTTTGAGCTATTTTGCAGATACTGAAACCCCCACCAGATGGGAGAAATCCCAGACCAGTTGGAACCAGGTTGATGATGTTGACTTCCACTTCACCACCAACTAATCAGATTATCCATGAGCTAGCTGATCACATCCTCTTTGAACCATTACTATGAAACTTACTACCCGCTCCAGGTTGGGACACACCGTTTTAAAAGCATTAGCCCACTGATCCCCTTTGCCTGGCAAAGCAATAAAGCTATTCTTTCCTATTTCACCAAAACCTGTCCCTGAGAATTAATTTCGTGTCAGGGTACAGAGGCCAGCTTTAGCTTCAGAAGCTGTTGCCACATTTCCATCAGAGGTGAAGAATCTGATTGAAGAGGAAGGAAAGGATACCATCCAAAGCAAGTCTTCATGTGATGAAACTGGGCTCTTCTGGAAGAAGAGTCCCAACAGAACCAAACATCATCCGGGAAGCTCTAGTTTTTTAATCGCGAGTCACCCATTCTCCTTGCTTGGCCCTTTTGATAAATCTTTCTCTGCTCCAAACTCATGTTTGAGTTTGTTTGGCTTCACTGTGTGTCAGGCATGTGAACTTGCATTCAGCAACAAACCTACCGTCATAAAAGTGCAAAGGAGGCACTAGATCATAAAACATGGAAGAGGAGATTAACTCTGGTATTACTGGCAATGCTACAGAGCATATGTTAAAGGCAGGAGTAGTATACAGAGCAAAGACCCAACAGTGTTCAAAAACAAAACCAAGAATTATCTGCTTATATTCTGACAACATAATCTAGGTGACAGCTATCTTGTTTATGGAATGGGTCTACCAATGCTTCATTCCAGAAATGAAAAATATTTGGAAAAAAGGAAAGGTTGGAATTTAAAATCCTATTACTAACAGACAATGGACCTGGTCATCCTGAATCTGTTTGCTATAAAAATGTCAAAGTTGTATTTTTATCTCCAAATACAACGTCAATGCTTCAGCCACTTGACAAGCCATCAGTTTGTCAAGGCCACATACACCTACCTGATATCTGACCACATATGTTCAGCAATTAATGCAGATTTTAATCTGGACACAATGCAATGCTTGAAATCATTACTACTGCCAATGAATAACATTCACCAGAAGTGCAGTAAGTGAATTAAAACTACACTCTTAATGCCTGCTGGAAGAACTTATGAAGTCGTGAATGATATTAAAGGTTACTGAGGTTCGATGGAGAAGTTAGGAAACTCATTCACATAGCAAGACAAGTTGGCGGCAAAGGATCTGCCAACACGCTTGAAGAAGTGGAAGAACATATTAAAGGGCACTGAGAAGTGTTAACAACTGAGTTATTGGACAGACTTGTGGAGTCATCTATTGAGAAAGAGGAAGGTAAAGCAACTGAAGCAGAATCAGCAATGTGGACATAATTGAAATTTGCCAAAATGTTTCAAATTTCACAATTTCAAATATATGGAATATGACCCTCAGATGAAAAAAGGCATCATAGCAACTACTCACAATCACCAAAGGATTACAATTGCTGCAGCAACACTTCAATGAGTTAAAGAGACAGCTCCAATTACAATGTTTTCCCAAAAGCTTGCAGCAAAAAAACCTTCAACTGTATCTCGTGGATCCCCAAAATCATCTACTTAGACATCCAACCATGGACACTGTAATGGCTCAATGATCCTCCTTCTGATGTACAGTCAGAAAGTCAATAGTAGCCTAAAGCTATGTCACAATGCCTCACTTCATCACGTAGACACTGTATCATCTCACATCATCTCTGAGGAAGGTAAGTACAAGACAATACAATATCTTGAGTGAGACATTTACCCAAGTTTTATTACAGTATATAGTTACAGTTGTTCTATCTTATTACTGTTGTTGTTAATCTCTTAATGTGCCTAATTTATAAGTTAAACTTTATTGTAAGTAAGTAATTATAGGAAAAAACTTTGCAATTACAGGGCATACTATCTGCAGTTTCAAGCATCCATTGGGGTCCTGGAACATATTCCCCCTCAGTTAAGGGGGAAGTACTGTAGTTCTCTTGCTTTGGAGTCTCCTTGGAGAACCTTTAACCAGAACTGCTCAGAGGGAGGGGTGTTGAGAGCTGTGTCTGGCTGGCTTCTTCCCTTCTGCCGAGTTACATCCTTATGGAACCCCTAAGAACTCTTTACATGGCAAGGCATCCTCCTTTGACATGGACCTAGAGTGGTACCCAAGGTCACATGGCACCGAGCACTGTGCCTGGCATCAGGAACCGGTTTAGTAAGTTTTTGGTGAATGAACCAGTAACTTAAGAACTAGATATAGCACAGGGAACTCTTCAATACTACGTAATGACCTTTATGGGGAAAGTAGAAAGAGTATGTGTGTGTGTATACACACACACACATATATATACACATACACATATATATATATATATAACTGATTCACTGTGCTGTATTGCAGAAACTAACACAACATTGTATATCCACTATACAAACAAAAACAAAAAAACACCCAAAACTAGAATCCAAAACAGGGCTCCTAATTCCCAGTCCTCCATTATATCACCTCTACTACAACCACCAGTCACACCGTCTCCTCTGAGGGCAACCTGAGTAGATTTTTCCAGATGATTACATTAAGCAATCAAAATGTACAAGATATATTCCCTTCCTTGAAAGAGTTTATAATATAACCTATTATTTCTTTAGTGTTAAATATCACTGATTAAAAGCAAGATACTCATTAACTAAAGTAGGGCAAAAGGAAGAATACTACCAAACATCTCTAAGGCTCCAACTATCTATAACATTCACCTAGTACAATTCCTGAACCAAACTTGGGGGGAGAAAAAACTAGTAGTACCTGGGCACAGCCTTTTACTAATTATTGTGTTAGTTAACATTTACTGAATGCTACATGGGTTCTAGTTGACCCTCCACTCCTATCTTTATGTTCTTGGTTGGATTAGTAAGCCCCTCCATGCCTGAGTTCCTCATCTATAATGAAAAAAAAAAAAAAAGAGGCAATCTCAAGTTGCAGTGTGTATGCATATAGAATGCTCATATCTTATTCTTTTTCTGTGCTCTATTTTGTATGGTAATTAGAGATACAAAGACACTTCTTAATTCTTATAAACAAAACTTCCAAAACACCAAGGACTTCCCTGGTGGTCCAGTGGTTAAGAATCCACCTTCCAATGCAGGGGACTTGGGATTGATCCCTGATTAGGGAACTAGGATCCCAGATGCCACGTGGACATGCCACAGCTATAGGTCCATGTGCTCTGGAGCCTGCATGCTGCAAAGGAGAACCAATGCAGCCACAAATAAATACGTTTTAATAATGTAATACAGTGTACTAAATAAAATGGGGGGAGGGGAGGTACAATCACCTTTGGAGAGAGGTGTTCTCTCCCCATTTCACAAAAAGGAAATTGAGGCTAAGGATGAAGATTCACTCCAAAGTACACTCTTTCCACTATATTATTCTGCTTCTGAAAGAGTGGCAATTAACACCACTCCTCTGATTTTTAAAAGCTTCCTTGGGGCCGTCCAGTTTCCCTTCATGCTCTCCTCTGGACATTATCTTATTCTTAAGGCTTTAATAACTAGGTATTGGTAACTTCCAAATTTTATTCCTAGTGTAGGTTTTCCTACCCAGTTTTCTATCAGTATATCCAACAATCTAATTGAAATCTGTTTGGTATGCCAAATTTAACTGTGACCTTTCCCACCTAATTAACTGCTCATTATCTACCCAGCTGGGAGTTTTTACCCTCCTCCATTCACCGTTCTTTTTTTTTTTTAAGGCTCTTAGTTGCAGCAAGTGGGGTCTAGTTCCCTGATTAGGGATCGAACCTGGGCCCTCTGCATTGGGAGCTTGGAGTCTTAGCCACTGGACTCTCAGGGAAGTCCCCCATCCACTCTTCTTTAACCTGTTAATCTAACTCTTACAGCATCCCTGTGCTATAGATTCTATCATTCTCCCAATCTTACAAATAAGAGGTTAGATGACCTTTTCTCAGTCAGTAAGTAGCAGTTAGGCTTTTAACATGGAGGTGACATGCCTGCTGTGTTCCAGACACTATGAGTGACGCCTCCCAATCATCCGCTGCTAAGTCCCAGCCCAAGCAGTCACTCCGCACCTGACCACTGCAGACTGTTAAGAGCACAACTGGTCTCTAATATCCACACCTACTTGCTTCTAACTGTTCTCCAAACAGCAACTGGAGTGATCTTTTGAAAATAAAGTTCTTCAAAAGGGAGGGGACATATGTATACCTATGCATATATGGTATACATAGCTGATTCATGTTGCTTTATGGGAGAAACCAACACAATATTGTAAAGCAATTATCCTCCAATTAAAAAATAAATTTAAAAAAAGAAAATAAAGTTCTGATCCCATCCACCTCTCAAAACCTTTCAATAACTTTCAATTATCTTTGTCTCAGGTGGTTCTTATACTGGCACTTAGCATTCCTGCTTAACCAATCTATTTTTAATTTTAGTATCCCAGAATGTTTTATTCTTTCTCCTCAGACCTTTTAAAATGTGGCTCTTTTTACCTCAAATAACTGCCCTATTTAACTCCTTTCTCCTTCCCAAGTCAACTAAAACATTACTTCTGTAGAAAAGAGGTTTCTTCTCGTTCCCCATGCCCAACAGACTGTGAAAATCATGAAAAGAGGTCCTAAGACTGTTTTTGTTCTTTGCTCTCTTCTCAGTTCCTAGAACTGTGCATGGCATATAGTAGGAGCTAAGTAAACATATGAAAGAATGAAGAATGTGGGACTTCTCTGGTGGTCCAGGGGCTAAGACTCAGTGCTTCCAAGGCAGGAGGCCCTGGATTTGATCCCTAGAACTGGATCCCATAGGCTGCAATTAAGAGTTCACATGTTGCAACTAAGAAAAAAAGTATCCTAAAGGTCACATCGAAGATCAAAGATCTCATGTGCAGCAACTCACACCCAGCACAGCCAAATTAACTAATATATCAAAAAAAAATTTTAAAAACAACAAGGAACACAGGGAAAAGCTAGGATATATCACCTCTTACTAACTGGTGCATAGTCCAAGCTTTAAGACTTAATATAATGACTGGGTATTTAAGTGAAGTGGGTTCTGTTCTATTAGGAGGATCAGAAAATAAGAGATACTGACAATAAATTAGTTGATGTTTTATTGGTTGTTACCACTGTCCACGCTACTGTTCACTTCTGGGTCCTGACAAAGAATCCTATTTTCTGCTAAGCCTTCCCCACCTTTTCATTTTTTCATACACGAGGACAATGGAAAGCTTTTAAGAACATGCAATCTTATAATGCAAATCATTAACAAAGAACAATGAAAAAGAGATACTTAACCCCTTCTTGGCATGAATCTAGAATTTAGGATGTCAACTCAACATTAGAAGCTAAAGCAGACTATACTGGACTTCCCTGGCAGTCCAGTGGTTAGGACTCCACACTTCCACCACAGGGGGCATGGGTTTGATCCCTGGTTGGGGAACTAAGATCTTGCATGCCACATGGTGTAGCACACCCTCCCAAAAAAGCTAAAACACATTATAGACATCAGGATATACAGAATGCGTGTTACTATTTTAAATTTGGGAATCTTGTGAGGATATATATGTATCCATACAATGCAAACAATGCTCACAACTCCTCTACCTAACACCACCCTTAAAGTCACAGGAGAAAATCAGTCTCATTCTGTTTACAACCAGAATGACCCCTAAAATGCTTACTGGATTTGGTCCTGAATGACTTTAGGTTGTTTCAAAACCTCAAAAACATCTTCGGAGTAAGGATTTCTGATCCCAAAGGATATTTCAAAGAATGGGCCACTAGTTCTGGAGGTCATTCCAAAGCAAAGTCTCAAGCATTTTGCCCGTTCTTGGAAACAGCATGTATATGACATTCTTTCAAATGCATAAATTCCATTTTAAGAAAAAAAATCAGAGTGCTTTACAGTCAGCCAGTTATCTTCAAAGGCAACAGGGCAGACGTCACAGCTCAGCCTGCTGTGCACTGGTGCACTCTTCCGGTCTCTCTCCTCTGAGCACCTTGTGGCAGAAAAGCTGCATACGGTCACTGACAAGATTTAGAGCAATATGTGCTAGGTTGCTTCTGTAACTGAAGCTTGAGCAGTTTTCGAGCTGGTGAAGGATCTAATTGTTGAGTGCTTCTCTTCCCTGCAGAGAAAAGGAGCCAAAAAATACATTTCAATTGAATTCAAATACCACTATTGAAAACTTACTGTGTGAATACTGTGCCAGACCCTGAAGGGTATTTGAAGGACAACTTAAGAGCGCATCTGCCCTCAAGGAGATGGCTCTCTGGTAGGAAAGCCAGCTGCAACTACAACCACAATACAATCTGATGGGGACTTCCCCAGTGGTCCAGTGACTAAGAATCTGCACCCCAGTGCAGGGGGCCTGGTTCAATCCCTGGTCAGAGAACCAGATCACAAATGCAACTAAGAGTTCACAGCCTGCAACTAAAGATCCCACATGCTGCAACTAACACCTGGCAGAGACAAATAAATAAATATTATTTTTTTTAAAAGTAATGTCAGTGTCACTTGGTAGATTCTTGAAGAATGAAAAGAGAAAAAAGGCAGTGGATAGATATTTCTTGTTCTGGATCTACCCAAACAACACAGTTTGTCAGTTTGTGGAGATTTAATTCTACTGTCCTCCTGTCTAAAAATTTCCAATTAACTTTGAGTACCCACAATAGTAACTGTTATTGTGAGGGGGAAATAAAAGTCACCAGATACAGGCCTTACCCTTGGAGACCATTGTTTGTATCCACACAATGCAAACAATGCTCACAACTCCTCTACCTAAAACCACCCTCAAAGTCACAGGAGAAAATCAGCCTCATTCCCATTACAATCAGAATGACCCCTAAAGTGTTCTGAAGGGCAGTGTACATCCGAAGGGCTATTAGATGTAAAACAGTGCAAGCTCTGGTCCCCTGAAGACAGGCTTACCGAGCTGTACTGACACCTCCTGGAGGCACTGGGTACTTTCGGCCATGAAGGCGTGCAGCTGCTTCACGGATCCTTGCAGTTCGTCCATCTGCAGACAACAGACAAGTATGAACTGGAAGGGTGCACGGCTTCGGCATGGCTCCTCAAACACACCAGGCAAGCTCCTGCTCAGGAGCTTTGCTTTTGCTGTTCTTTCAACGTGGAATGCTTATGCCAGACATTTTGTTTGCCCTTTCACATCCATACTCCACTCCTCTCCACACTGCTCTGCTCCTGAGCAGACGGACCTGCACAACCTCAACAGGACCCCAGGTCCTCTGGCTTCTGGGTGGGCTTGGCCAAGAGGGAGCCAAGCAGGAGTGAGCTGAATGAGCTCAGGGTATTTTTACCTGGGCCTACTCCTGGAAGGGTCATCTGGAGTTAGTAGTGCCTCTCAACTGAAGACCATGGCTCTTTCAGAGCAGCCCACTATACAACTCCCTGCCAGGTACCACAGTAACTGTTTCACCCTCCAGCTGAGGAGCAGGAACAGCTCAGCTGCCTCTAAGCCCCAGATCACTTCACTTCACTTTTGAATTCCTGACAGCCACATCTTTATACTCAGCCCCTTTGTAAACAGACTCTCCTTACCCTGTATCAAATGCCACCTGCTTTCTGTTCATACTGGGCTGACCAAAAAGTTCGTTTGGGTTTTTGTAAGCTCTTATATAACCTGAACAAACTTTTTGGCAAACCTAATACTTGCATTGAGGGACTTCCCTGGTGGTCCAGTAGATAAGTATTGTACTTCTAATTTATGAGGTGCAGGTTCAATCCCTAGTCAGGGAACTAAGATCCCACATACTGTGTGATGCAACCAAAATAAAACAAAGTAAGAGAAACAAATAAAAAAGTCCAACGTGAGACCTCATGCCATTAGGTTCAAGATGGTATTTTGGCAAAAAAAAAAAAACCAATTGGGGTTGACATTTTTCAAAATGTCCTCACGGCTCACTTCCCCATTTCTTTCAAGTCTTTATTAAGGTGGCACCTAAGAAGGGCCTTCAACCCTTCTATATAGCAAACTGAAGCCCTCCCTGAACATTCTCTTCCTCCACCTGACTTATTAGCATTTATCACCATTTACTTGTTTATTTTCTTTCATCGTCTCTCCATGTTTCCCCAAGGTGAAAATACTTATCTAATTACACATATTCTCCAGCTCTTTTAACAAGGATAAGAAGGTATCAAAGCTGGGTAACTCAGCCAAAGAAACATGACCTAACTTACCACCAACTCCATACAATCAAAGAGTTTAGTCTGGTTCTGCAATATCTTCTGGTAGTCAGGTTTTGTATTAAGGACTTCACTCTGGGAAGACCCAACATACATTCTAGGTTCCACTTCAACTTCAGTATTTTTGGTTTCAGCTGATCCTCTAAAATCAAAATAAAACAAAAAAGCTTTCAAATAATTTTATAATTATTTTCTGTGGGGAAATAGCAAAGATTTACCTAGGGAAAACACTTCCTAAAAGGCTTTACTAACTTGAATCAATATTCTTTCACCCCACAGTGAGCATAGGCTCTCTTACTAACAGGAGATTCTGAGATAATTATCTAGTGTTAATGTTTTTATACCTCTGGACTCCAGGAAATGCTAGGTTAGTTGACTCCATCTAACAGTAAGGTCCATTTACAAAAAGGACTACTCCTGGGGTAAAGCCTGAAGTTAACATCTATGATCTTTTACCAAAAAGATGCTGGCCCACTTAAATTATCTAAAATAACTCAATATAATGGAGAGTTTATGAAAACTGCTGATGACTCTTTAGTCCTAACAACCCAATGAGGTAGGTAGTAATATTATCCCATTTTCAAATGAGGAACTTCAGATTAAGCGGACTGTCCAAGGTCACAACACTAAGGAGCAGTTAGGATTTGAACACAGACAGTCTGCTTCCAGAAGCTTTCCTCTTAACTATAAACTATGGCCTGTTTATACTGGCAACTGCCATCTTATGCATATGTGTCTTCATACATAGAACATTTAAAGGGTGAAAAAAGTAATAAGCATCAATGCCTGGATTAGGGAAGTTTCTCATACTGTGCTCTTCAAGGTGCCTCTCTACTAAGAGGCCACTTTGGCAAATACTATTTTGGCTAATGTTTTATAGTTATGTTTCTAGCTAAGGTTCTGTTTGGGGGAAAAAAACTTAAAATCACTCGTTTGGACAGTAAAATGAAACCAAAATCTAGCACTTTCCCATTTTATTATGCCTTCAAGACCCAAAGATCTTCGCTCTCCTGTAGACCCACTTCCATCACCTCTTTCACCCCTGTGTCTCCATGAGGGCCCTGGCTGTGGTTCTCTCCCACAGTCGCAGCTCAAAGGCCATGTGCTCACTGAAGTCCCTTGATACTGGCCCAGCCCCAGGTTGCCAGCTACAGGGCAGAGACATGCCTGTCTCCCCCAGAATGTGGAACAGCAGCCAAGGGCACAGAACAGAGGCAATTCTGTTCTTTGACTGAAAATAGTGACAACTCTTCCTTCCCAACCCCCACTCTCCATTTTCAGTCACACTGTTCATGTGTACTCTACAGAGATTTGATGAGCTGACTGGCCTGTAAGACTGGATTCATCATTCAGTTTGTGCTAACAGAACTGAAATCAAATCAAAAGTCACAAGGTAAAACCTTCCTATTTCCTGTCATAGATCTAACCTTGATAAGATCTCTTCAGCCTCTTCCTGGTAGCGCAGCAAGAGCTGATCCCAATTCTGACGTTCTAAAGAAAACCTACAGAAGCAGGAAAAAATTCAGTTAACTTTTGATCATCTCATTCTGAATCACTCAGGGCAAGCATACATTAGGTGTCTACTCTTGTTCTAAGATGTGAATAAAAAAGTCATTAAAAAAAGATTAGAAAGCACGACCAAGTCAGAGGATATTAACTTAATCAAATCAAACATGAGTCTTTACATCAAATCCACATCCTTAGTCTCTAGACTCCATTCTATGAAACTGGCCATCAATACAGTCCATAAACCACTCCAGTGTTTTTGCCTGAGAAATCCCATGGTCAGAGGAGCCTGGTAGGCTACAGTCCATGAGGTCAAAAAAAAGTCGGACACAACTTAGTGACAAAACAACAACAGTACATAAAATCCCAGTGTGCAGCTTTCTAACTCCCAGTGTGGATACAGCAGTGACACTGAAAAGGATGTTTACTATTCATTTTTCCTGGTTATTTTTATTAGTTATTTTTCCCAGACAAATCTAGATTTTTCCAACAAAAGTTCACTCATTTTCACTTACTTTGTTATATATTCCTTCATCTCAGCAACTGATGTTTCCAGAGCCAAATCTGATACTTTTCTAGAATAGACAGGATTATGAGATTAACAGAAATCTTCCCAGAGTGTTTGATTTTAGTATTGGATGTTTCACATAATTTTAACAGCAATAAAACATGTTCAGAATTTATCTTTCAACGAATACTTAGTCCTGGGATTCTAATTCACTTTTGCACTAGGTATTAGCTTTCTCAGCGGTCTCTTCATTGTCTGTTTCCCTCATCACATGTGAACAGATTAACCTCTCTTCAAATATTCCTTTTGTATTTTTCGTTTCTAAAAATTCTGTGACTCCACTGCATTCAGAAGAAAAGCCAAAACTCCTTAACCTGGCACTTAAGGTTCTCTGTGTTCTGGCTCTGTCCAACTCATTAACTTTGATTCCTACTGTTACCCTTTATCTGTTCTATCCATATAATGCCACAAACTTTTGTTCACACCATTTTTTTTATTTAGCCTCTTGCCTTCCCAAATAATCAAAACCTTAATAGCTTTTTCATACAACTGTCTCTGCACTTGAGTTGAAGCTTTCAGTTGGATATGTTCTACTTAAACCAATAGCTTGGCTCAGTAAGGTGATTAATTCTAATGGAAAAGCAGGAGGCATTGAAAATGCCAAAATTTTGCAGATTGTACTTGGTATTCTACCTGGCAAAGGCAAATCAGCTGTGTCACCTTTTATGTTTTTCTATCAAAGCCTGTGACAAACAGCCTCTATCACCTCTAGCTGCAATACAGCAGCCTCTGGTTTAAATATACTGCGTTAAAAGAGAAGCAATGTCGAGCTAACATAGTTTTCATTTCCTGAATAGCCATGTTAATTCTAAGGATCCATGGAAAGGCAGACCTTTGTGAAGTCGAAAGTGTAAGATCAAGTCACATAATTTGTTGCAGGATGGGGGGAGGGGCTCACTGTTGCCCCTGCTGAGGGACTATCAGTTTTGAGGCGGGGCAGCAGCGGCAGCTGTAAAATTTCTCTTAATATTCTTGCTGGCCAACAGCTAATACCATGACTTTATATACAACTGGCACGGCTAGCAAAAATATGAATGTTTTTTGTCTCATCTTCACATATTTGGTTCCTCCTCACCATCCAGGTCTTACAGGTCTCAGTGCAAATGTCAAATCATTAGAGGACTTCTTGGACCACTCCAGCTTAAGCTGCCCACTCCCTCAAGTCACTATCATATTACCTGCCCAATTGATTATCACTGAAATCATTCAGAGTATATCTGAAGTCATTATTTTCTAAGTATTTATCTGTCTCTCCTACTACAATGAATAAGAAGAAAGATCTTGTTTCATTACTTATCACTGTCTCTCCAGCTTCCAGAAGAGCATGGTACATAGAAGATGCTGGATAAACATTTGATGAGTGAATGAACAACTGTCTAATTAAGTCTTATTTCTCCAAAGAAGCCATACAGATTGCCCATAGGCACATGAAGATGCTCAACATCACTATTAGAGAAATGCAAATCAAAACTATAATGAGGGGCTTCCCTGATGTCTCAGTGGTAAAGAGTCCGCCTGCCAATGCAGGACACACGGGTTCAATCCCTGATCCAGGAATATCCCACATGCCTCGGAGCAACTAAGCCCACGTGCCACAACTACTGAGCCTATGCTCCAGAGCCCGAGAGCAGGAACTACCAAGCCCACGTACTCCAACTACTGAAGCCTATGCACCCAGAGCCCATGCTCTGCAACAAGAGTGGCCACCACAATGAGAAGCCCATGTACCGTGACTAGAGAGTAGCTCTTGCTCACTGCAACTAGAGAAAAACTCACGCAGCAACAAAGACCCAGCAGAGCCAAACATTAAACAAATAAAATTATATATAAAAACTACAATGAGGTATCACCTTACACCCATCAAAAATGGCCATCATGAAAAAGCCTACAGATAATAAATGCTGGACAATGTGTAGAGAAAATGGAAACCTTCTTAACACTGGAAGTGTAAATTGGTGCAGTCACTATGGAAAACCGTATGGAAGTCCCTTAAAAAACTAAAAATAGAGTTACCATATGACCCAGCAACCTAACTCCTGGGCATATATTTGGAAAAGACAAAAACTAATTCAAAAAGATACATGTACCCCAATGCTCACAGCAGCACTATTTACAATAGCCAAGACATAGAAGCAACCTAAATGTCCATCAACAGATGAACAGATAAAGATGTGATGTATGTGTACATAAACACACCCACACACCCACAGGAATATTACTCAGCCATAAAAAAGAATGAAATAATGCCATTTGCAGCAACATGGATGGACCATTATCATACTAACAGATTAAGTCAGACAAAGAGACAAATTCCATACATCACTTATCTGCAGGATCTAAAATATGACACAAATGAACTGAAGTATACACAAACACATACATATTACATATACACACATATACCTGAATCACTTTGATGTGCACTAGAAATTAAAACACTGTAAATCAACTATACTTCAATTTAAAAAATTAAAAAAATAAAAAGTCCTAATTCAGTTATAATTTTGGACAGAAAGGGAACTGTTCTTACCCTTCTGAATCTTCAAAACATTTTTGTAGTGTTCCATTACTTTCCAGTCTGTCTGCAAAATGTTTCAATTCTTCAGAAAGGGAAGATGCTACAGAGAACAACATTATATGTTACAAAATAAAGGGAATAATACTTTTCACAGTGAGCTGCTGACAAAGATGTAACATAGGTAAAGTGGCCTCAGCTCTAGGGTCACCTGTTACATTCTGGCCCTCTCACCCATTCAAAAAAGTGATATAAATATGCAGGAAGATTTTATCTTTTTTCTTTGGGTAGGTATAGATAAAATGGAAGACAACTCCTCTTTATAACATTTACAATAGTGTTTTTCACACGACTGATGAAGAAGCAGTTTAAGAGATGTGTCAGAAAGATGTTTCTGGATTGACAATTCACTCTTTCAAGAGATCTGATCTGCTGGCACTGGGTGAAAGAACATATTATAGAAGTCAGAAATGCTAGCAGCAAATAAAAAAACGATGGGCATAAGGTAAAAACAGGTCTCTGCTTAGACTTAAAAAGAATTCACAATTAAATTCAGGTGAAGAATGCAGAGGGGAAAAGATACGTTAAATAGCTATCAAAATAACCTGTACATGTCTACCCTAATTATGGTGATAGTAGAGTTCTGAGATAAACAGCTTTACCTGGCAAGTAAGTCTGACTTCATGTATATTCTGGGTCTTTTATTTCTGACCTGGATGATTGCAAAATTACACTGTAAGGAGAAAAGCTATTTCCTAGAAAGCTGAAAATTGACTCCTGGGGAAGAATATTTGCAACTTATGTCACAGGCTAAAGCTAATTTCCTTAACACATAAAGAGTGCCTGCAAAACCAATACAAAAGAGTCAGTTCCTCAATTTTAAAAAATGAACAAAGGATATGTATGGACAGATAATACATAGAAAATCAAGTACAAATGGCTCTCCTCTAAAAATATGAAAAAATATTATCCTCATCAAAAGAAAAACACATTAAAATCCCAAAAAAGACCTTTAAATAATACCTACTAAATAATAAAAAAATCTAAACTTTTAGTTATAGTATACTTACACTAGTTAATTCTAACGTATCTTATTTTTACTTGAATGTATGCTAAAAGGCTTGTATAAAAAGGTATTCATTATCCATTCACTGTAATAAAAGACTGAAAATAAACCCAAAAGTCCATCAATAAAGAACTGTTTAAATCAAATATAGTACATTTATAAAATAGAGTATCATGTAGCTGCTAAAACGTCAAGACAGCTTTATCAGTATGATATAGAACTCTCTGCAAGATAAATTGTTTAAAAAAACAACAAACAAGATTAAGAACAGTGTGTACAAATGATTATTCATCTGATTTTAATGGATAAATGTTTAGAAATGCAGTAAATCTGCAAAGATACAAAAGAAGCTGGTGGCTGTGGTTGCCTCTGGAAGGAGAGGAACTGAGACTGAGGGTCATGGGGCAAGAGAGGCTTACTTTTAGACCTTCTAAACTTTGTAAGCACATATTTGTATCTTTTTTAATGCAGTTCCCCCCAAAAAAGGAGGAGGCCTGGTTGTGTAAGGTAGCAGGTCCTGTAAACAGGGACCCCGAGAGAGAGGTTTCAACCAACTCTAATAGAAGGTACAGACCAAGGTCAAAGCTCGAGTGTCTGGTCTTAGCAACTTACCTTTGGCTCTAAAACTTTCAAGACTGAAGCCCTCAGTTCCCTTTAGGAAAGGTTCAAGTTTCTGAACAGAGAACTAAATAAAGAAAAGCATTTTCAGTACAACCACCAAGATTTGCCAGGCCAGTCCTGAATTCATGTAATCTTAGGACATTTAATAAATGTGAGTAAGCATGATTTAATTCTACACCTAAGATTTTTCATATAAACAAAACAAGAAAATAAAAAGGTAAGGATAAAAGTCTTTGTTGTCTAGACTACGTGATGGGATTTTTGATTCATGGGGGGAAATGGTCATTTAATTCACACAAATGACTTGCTTATCTAAACTGATGCAATCACCAGTTAGTCATATAATTCCAATTTAGAGAGCAGCCAGATCTCAAATGTCTGCTTAAACTTAGATATGACCTCCACCCACCTTAAAGTCCCATCATTTGCTGCTAATGAGCAAATACACTAGACAGGGGCACTCTCTTAACTGCTCAGTCAGCCTCAGCAACATCAATGGGATTCCTGGAGCCTGATCCAGAGACAAAGCTTCTGGGATTAAATCTGGCTTTCAAATTAATCTCACTAGAGAGAAACACCTTTTACTCTTTACTGATAAATCACACAATGTCTTTGGGGATGTCACAATAACAGTTTAAAAAAAAAAAAAAAGGTAAGAAAAAGAAAACACTCCCAATCCTGAGACTCTTGATTCTCACCTGGAAACTGGAAAGGAGGAGAGAGCTCAGCCGTTTGCTTTCTGTTAGGTCGACACTGATGGATCTGCAGAGCTCTAACATAAAATATTACCACATTCAAAGAGATGGACACTTATACAGTTAGCAAAGTAAAAAGAAAAACAAACTGAAAAATTCCCTCCCTCTTGATGCAGTCCAATTTAAGGTAAGAAAACCCAAGTAGTCTTCTCTAATCTGTCTTCTTACATCTAACTTGTTCAAGATCACTAGAGAATAAAATTTACCTAATGTGTATCCTAAATTTAAAAAATTAAAAGAACCTTTTGTGCATTACCTTAAAATCTTGTCTTGCTAAATAAAACAGATTAAAAAAATTAATTCTCCTTGTGTTTTATATTCACCATTTGAAGAAAGGAGATGGGAATATTTCAGAATTTTTATGATAGCCATTGCAGTGTGCTTTAAATACAGTGTCTTAAGAATCTTCTAATAAACTATGAGTTCTACTTTACAGATGGGAAAACTGAAGCTCAGAACGGACGGAGATACTTGTTTGAAGCCAGAGACAATACATTTATAGTAAATTTGTTTAACACAGACTATCTAAAAGGCATTTTATTAAATTCTAACTTTCACCCTCACTTGAGGCAAGTGACTTACCAGCTTAACCATTTAACAAAGGTTAGGTGCTGGGCAACTTGCCCAAGGTCACACAGTGCATCAGCCTGAACTAAACAGGCATTTTACATAATTATGCTACTGAATCCTCAAACAGCTATCAATAAAAGATGTAGATGCTGTTTTTTTCAATTATGTCCATTTAAAAACATCAATTCTTATACAGCAAAGGAAATTTGCTTTGAGAATTAGGAGAGATACATGTCTTTTCGCCCTCCAGCCTCAGCTGGCTGTTTTTAAGTTCTTTCGCGCCCTCTCTTGATTACTACTTCTCACTTTTAGTCATGAAAAACAAGATACCTTCTGCCTATAACCAAAGAAACCTGGGAAGTGGCTGGGAATAACCAGAAAATAACAAATCTTATATGTCAGTAATTTTTTATTACACAGAATTCTAGGTCCACATGGTCTGGAACACAGATGAACGTAATAAGGGTAACCTTAGGAAACTGAAATTTCTTGGCACGTCTATGGAGAAAGTATACAAGCATTACCATGGTAGCAATTTTCTGATATGCTACATGGCTGTTTTTAGATAGATTTCCTTCTAAACATCAGAACTTCAGGAAGTGAAGTAATATCTTTAATTATGGTAACTTAACACGAGCTATAGTTATTATGTGCCAAGTGCTGTGTTATGTATCAACTCATTTAATTCTCAGTCTTGTAAAATAAGTATTATTTCACCCCATTTACTGATGAGGACCATAAAGCAAAAGAGGCTAAGTAAGCTGTCCAAGGTCACACAGCTAGTAAGCTCTTCCTGAAATGTGCTACTTTCCACATTAAATCTTGCACTTCAGTGCTTCCTGAGATGCTATTATTATAAATTCACACAAAATCACATTCAAATACACCATGTCTCAAAACTAGGTTTTTACACTAAATATTTTTATGGGTTCCTCCATCTGAGATAGTTTCAGTTTAAAACCTAAAATCAGGTAGCAACCCATCCACCTTCTATTCTACTTTAGGATATGAGGAAGAAAGCCAGAGGAAATCTTTACTTCTAGCCAATATGAATGCTGAACATTCACTTAGCACAGGTGAGTGCTGAACAATTGTAAATCAGATTTCCTGTCCATGGTATAGATTACAATGGGTAGCTAATAACATGATATAAACGGCACTGATACTGAATACTTACTAGGTGTTTGACATTAGTACTTATAATCTGAGAATACTCCTATAGATGAGGAAACTGAAGCTCAGAGAGGTGAAGTCATCTGTTCAGTCACATAGCTAGTAGTAAGTAGCCAAGTCAAGCTTAACTTTCTGCCATGCCTCACTGCCTCTTATCTGAGCTGGAGCTCCAGTTTTATGTACATAGCACCCCACCTGTGATGCCCTGATGAAAGGGAGGCAGTGACTTCCGCCGGTTCGTTTCTTTCATACTTGCTCGCCGCCAGGACTGCCTCCTGTCTTGATGACAGGCAGACTGCTCTTGTGGGGACAAATGAAGGGACCTGGATTCAAGTCCTTCCTGGTGGCTGAGATCACCACTGTCCCGTTTTTGGGGGCCATAGCCACGGTGAATTTGTTCCTTTGAAACACGTTCAGTCATCTCCAGGGAGGCGGACGATTTATTACACACGTCCACAGGGTTGGGATCTGATTCCAGTTGATGATCATGAGTCTTAGATGCCACTGGTTCCTCTTCTAGCACTTGTCATAAAAAAGTCAAAATACAGAATCAAACCCATCACAACTAAGAATCTGTGCAAAAAAAGTGGCAAAAGGAAACATATGCCCCAGGTCATGGAAACATTAAGGAAGCATCTCTGCAAATATACAAATAAGTGATTTCAAATCCACCAAGAGCAAGAGCCAGGGAGGTATTTAAAGCTCATGAACCTGAACCCAAGGCAAGAGGGTACCAAACTCCATGACAATACTCACCTACCATCTCTGGTCTAGAAGTCATCCTGAGTGGAGAACCCTGAAATAGGAAAATAAAGTAATCTATTCCCCATATTTCAGTCCCAGTCTTGCTGGGGCTTTACTCCCCCAGAATCAGCCTTGTGCTTTCTTGTCTCTTTGAACCGCCCCTTTTTGCCCCATGAAATTCTACCTGTCTGACAAGGCCCAGCCCAACCTCACCTCCACACCTTTTCCACAGAACATCAGCAGGGCTCATCACCTCCTGTTCTGAATTTCTACAGAATTTACTACTAGAAATAATCTTTATTTTCCTTAACACATACCCCTTTTAGTTCCCAATTATTTTGTGTTTAATAAGGGCTTAACTGCATAAGTCAATCAATGGCATTATGATCTACATGGTCTTCAAAACATGAACACTTTATCCTTCACTTATTAATTCTGCAGATTCAAAGGCCTGTCCATTCTACTTCCAACAATCTCTAAAACTCTTCCAATTTCCAGCCATAGTTCAGATCTCATAGTTTCTATCCCTCTCCCCCACTTCCCCCAAGAATCGAACAGCCGCTCCACTAGTTTTTCCTACATGCAACATTGTTCCTCTCCAATCCATTCTTTCTTTCTTTTTTTGGCGACACTGAGCAGCTTGTGGGATCTCAGTTTCCCACCCAGGGACTGAACTCCAGCCCTTGCAGTGAGAGTTCGGAGTCCTAACTACTGGACAGCTGGGTAATTCCCTCCAATCCATTCTTTAGACAGCAGCACATTCCTACAGTGTACCCAACACCTTCCAGAAGCTAGTCCTAACTAGTACCCATTCTTGCTTTCTCCTGCTATTTCCACTCCATGCACCACTTTTTTTTTTAAGTTTCTTTTTCAATTGTGCTGAAATATACACAACATAAAATTTACCATCTTAATCATTTTTAAGTGTACAGTTCAGTGACATTAAGTACATCCACATTGCTGGCTACCAACATCATCCAACCCAGAAAACTCTTTTCATTTTCCATGCACCACTTCTCAATCTTTGTACACATTGCCTTATAACTTATTCTTCCTTCCCAATCGACCTCAAGTGTGAAGCTTTCATGCCACGTCTCTTTGACAGAGTTGGCAGCTCCACTCCTGGGCCTCCCTGGCACTGGTTGTAAAGTCTGTTTACATGTCTCCTGGGGCCAGACTGTATTCCTAATGCTTGTCACAGACAAGTAACTGGCTGGAAAAGGTCAGGGACGTGACCGAGCCTCCCCCTCCACCACCAATAAAAATTCATACGGGGTGAGGGGAGTGCTTAGTAAAGAAAAATAAACATATGTGAAGGGACAACGTGGAAAAGATAAGAGAATAAACGAGGGGTAGCAGGATCAAGGATCATCACAGTTACGACTGTATCATTCAGATGAAAATCTGGTTACTTAATAGCAACCACTGACACTTTTAAGCGATTATTACATGCCAGGACCTGTGTGTATGTAAAACTGTATGTGTATTACTGCGCCATTTAATCGTTGCCACAGCTCTGGAAGTACCATCAACAGTTTCACGCTGCAGTTAGTTGAACTGAGATTCAGAGGGGCAAAAAAACCCCCAAAACTTGTTAGGTAGCCAGCGTGGAGAAGAGGCGAAATTCGAACCCTGGCCTGTGTGACCCACCCCCACCCAGCTTTCAACCTTTCACCAACAGTGACGTCTAGACCGCGGGCTCTGCAAACAAGCCCCGAGCCAGGCGCCGCCCGCCCCGGGGTCTCCTCTTACCCGGTGTCGGGGGTGACGACGGGCAGGCGGGGTGTGGGCTGAGCCGCGGTGTCCGACCCCAAAGTGGCTGGTGCGGGGGTGAGGAAGGCCTCTTCCGGGAACGGGCCTGCGACTTGCTCACCTCAGAGAGATGCCTGTCCAACCCAGAGCCTCCGTCTCCGAAACACAAGGCCGCAGGTCACTCTCTCCGCGACGCCGCGTTATCCTTGGACGCGCTGCACCAAGGCCGTTGGTCCTTCCAACTCTGGGACCGCTTCACTGCCTTCCGGCAGCGACAAAGCCACCCCTTAGAAAACTCCCGCCGCCCAAGGACGCATGCGCGGCCGGCGGGGGGGTGGGGGGGTGTGTCCCGGGCTCGCGCAAGCGCACAACGCCGCTTCCGCGAGGCGCATGCGCAAACCGCTGTTCGCGACTCTTCTGGCCCCGCCCTGTTTGTCCAAATTCTTCCCCGCCCAGTGTTGGCCAAGTTACCACCTTCCCAACAACGGCACTCCCAAAGAGTCCCTGACTGAGTACCGTTACACCGTCGTGTTCTTTGCGCTTGACATGCCCAGAGCCTTTCCAAGATGAGGGAGCAGAGGCCCAGAAAGGTAATTGCCAAAGGAAGACATTAGCGAGTGGGCAATGATGCCCTGTCCGGTCGCTGGGCCACAATCCTTCTCTCCCTTTGTCTTAACTCTAAAATTGTGGACCATGACTCTCCCAGGGCAGACTGGGACCACTTTTCCAGTTCTCCTCTAGCATATTTTCTCTTTTTGTGGCCCCTTCAACACCTGGAAAAGTTTAGGATCTCTCCTTTTACAACCTCCTTGCAGACCTCCCCCTCCCCAAATCGCTTGCCACTCTTATCATCACCCCCATTGCTTCTGCTCCTTTGCTTAAGCCGTTATCTTGGCCTGAGAAGCCCTTCCCTGATTTTTCTTGGCAGAATTCTCCAATTTTAAGCCTCAGTTGAGGATCCAGTGCACTGAGAGCCTTCTCTGAGGCCCCAGGCTGTAAAGCAGATGCCCTTTCTTTGCTGCCAGGAGCCTAGCCTGTGCCTGGCACACTATCCATTGCTGGCTTGGGGGCTCCCAGAGAGCACGCTGCTGCTTCAACACCCAGCATGATGCCATCAGAGTGTCACCTTGCATGCCTTCGGGATCTGAAATCTCCCCAAGTGTTGAATCACAAGCAGTCCACAAAAACTGCAAGAAGGGTTAATGAGCCACCACTGGAATGTGACTGTGGTCATCTTTCCATAGCAGTTGTGGGTCCCTGGAAAAGTTTTCTGGTGGTAGGCAGAAATCTGCCTTCCTGACATTTCCACTCTGTGGTTCTAGCATGTTGTCTCCCAACAGATGTCTGAAGCAGAGATTTGTTCTTTGTTCCCTGAATATCACTTTCTGGAGCCCAGTTCCTTCCCTTACCACCCCACTCCTTCAACTTCTCACTTGTCAATGTCCCAAGAACAGAACACAGCCAGAACTGGCCATCCTGGGGCACAGTCGGTAAGTTTGTTGCCTCATGGAATCCAGACCCAGTGCATCCTCTAGGTCGTTTCCCTGCTTTTAGTTCTTCCATGACTCTCTACTGTCCACAAGATGTGGACATTCCTTCCCTCATAAGGGACTGTGTGATCTCACCCAGCCTCTTTCTTCATTCCCCACACCAGTGATTTCTTCCAGTTCCCTGATCCTGCTCTGCTTTCTTTCTACTAGGCTTTCTACATGCTGTTCCCTCTCCCTGGAACATGTTGACTCCATCTCCTGCCTGCAACACACCACCATCTCCTTCATCTGGTCAACATCTCAACCTTAGGAATCATTGCAGACTTTCCTGATCCCTCCGACTCCCTGACCACCCCTTTGCCATTGACATTTGGTTTCCTGTTTTTCAGGTTCATATACTGTTATCCTCAATGCCCAGCACAGGCCTGGCTGTTGTTAGACTCTCAAAAAAGAGACCTGGAATTCCTTGGTGATCTAGTGGTCAGGACTTCATGCTCTCACTGCTGAGGGCCAACATTCAATCCCTGGTCTGAGAACTAACATCCCACACAAAAAAGTAATTTTCATGTGGTTGCTGGCTTCCAAGATGGTCCCCAATGACCTCCACTTTCTGCTCTTCATGCCCTTGTATAGTTCTCTTCCGAAAGGAATAGGACTGATTTGTATAACTAGTGAGATACTGCAGAAATTATAGTGTATGACTTTCAAGGCTTAAGTCATAAAAGATATTGTGACCTCTCCTGCTTTCCCATAGATCACTTGCTCTAAGGGAAGCCAATTGCCATGTTGTGAGGATACTCAAAGAGCCCTAGGGAGAGGTCCACATGGGGAGGAACTGAGGCCTCCTGCCCACTCTCACTTGCCAGGCATGAGTAACCCAACTTGGGAATGGATCTTCCAGCCCCAGTCATGCCTTCACATGATTGCTGCCTGATTTGACACTTGACTGCACCCTCAGGAGACCCTGAGTCAGAACAACTTAGCTCCTGAATCCCTGACCCACGGCATCTGTGATATAAATGTTTGGGGATAATTGATTATACTGTAATAGATAATTAACCCATGTCTTTTTTTTGTGATAAATATTTGAAAGTCTTCTGTAGCAAGTTTCAATTCCATTTTTGATGACCTGCATTTGTTTCTCTGTGGCCTTACCACCCTTCATGGGGGACCCTGAGGTGTCAGCAGTCAGTAGCTGGGAGCCCCTTGGTGGTTCCTCCCAAGTGACCCCAGACCAGCCAGCTGGCTGAGGCATTCCCAGGACTCCCTCCTTCCCAGGCAACTGGGTGTGTGGTTGAGTCAAGTTCCAAATGTGCTGGGGACCGCACCCACCTCACGTGAGAAATCAGACAAGCCAAGTCCATGGAAACTGTTCATATGACATACTTTATTTCCAATCTAAACCATTAAAAACCCTTTGTAAGTTTACACTGTACAGTTATTCTCATGTCTGAAATAAGACACGGGGGGAAGGAGAGCTGGCGGACTGGACCACGGTTGTCTAGCACCCAATACCTCCTGGGAAGGAGCCTTCTGAAGAAAGGGGTAGGGAGGAGAAAGAGTGGGCAGGAGAGGCAGAGTTTGGCCCAAGGATGCCCCTGGTCCCTTCCTTCCCAAAGGCCTTTCCCTGGGGGACCCCTTGGGCCCACGACTTCAGAGGCCACACCAGGAAACCAGGATGGTCAGGAAGGGGGTTTCACAGTACTGGCGGGGGTTCAGGATGGGGAGGCCAGGTTGAGGGATGGCTTTTGGCTCTCTCCCCTAGCCCCTAGGGGCAGGAGCTGCTTTTTGGCAC